CTTTAGTAATATAAGGACTTCAGGTTGTCTATTTCATTACAAATACCTCTTTGAATGATTCAAAGATTAGGATCTAAGTCAGTAATATACTATGATATAATTTTAATTAAGATTCAGTTCTACTCATTTATACATATCTATTTTGATTTATTCTTTTATGTTATTTAAACTTTTATAATTTCCAAACCTTTAGATTTTAATCATTAATTGCACAATGTGATCACAAAATATGAACTGACTGAAAGTTTTTTTTAATTGGCTTTTACTGGTTTTATACTCTAAAATGTGATCAGTTTTCATAAATGTTCATGTAGACTTTAGAAAATTTACATTCTGTAATTGTTGAACATAGAGTTCTTGCATTCACATGAGCTATATTGCTAGTTAACTGATTTAGTGAAATAGTGGAAACTACTGCCTTGAAATTCAACTATTTCAATGCAAATCTAAATGTAGATATTTAGCAAATGTTAATGATGAGGGTAACAAATGTGCAAGTGTGCTTTATACAATTGATGTATGTATAGATTGTGATAGGAGTTGTATGAGCCCCCAATAAAATGATTAAAATATAAATAAAATAGATAGAGTTAAGCCATAAACATATGGAAAAATAAAAGGATAGAAAAACATAAGAAGCAACATAAATACAAACAAAGCTTGTTTGATAATATACACTTTTTGAACAAAAAACATATTAAGGAAAATAAAGGGTTAATATATCATGCTAAACTGTTCGAGTCACCAAGCAAATACACAAATTCCAAATTCTATGCATTCTAAAAAAAATAACAAGTTATTCATATACCATTAGATTGGGAGTTTTCAACAATGATCACTCAATTACTTTTAACTTTCCTCATCTTTATCATCTTTATAGTTTAGATATACCTATTTTAAATATCTTATCTGGATTTTATTTCCATATTTATTCTGAAAATATATTTATTTTAAATATCTTATCTAGATTTTATTTCCATATTTATTCCGAAAATAGGAGTTGTGTCCATTAACTGTGTCTATTGATATATTTGGAGTTGTATTTACTATTTCATTTTTATATCTGCTTTACTTTATTATTCATTCACTGATTTACTTAGGTATATATTATTAATAGATGCCTTTATCTCATAATGGAGTACTTAATATGATTCTTCTACCCTTACATGAACTTTATGACTCCCATAAAATGATTGGGTACAATTTTGCAAATAAGGTACTTGCCATTCCACAAGGGATCGGATTATTTGCTAGTAATACATATAACTTTCAAAAGACCCTTATGGGGATGGGATCATGCAAATAATGATGTACAGAACTCTATGTATTCCATGGTTCTTTAAATATTGCTTGCTGTTATTCAAAAGCATCCATTCTTCTTTGATATTTATTATTCACTATTCTTTTGTGACTGCATGTTAGACAATTGATAATATTTGACTTCTGTCAGTCATGCCTTAGTTCTCAAAGTGACATCCTTGCTCATCAATTTTTACATTAAGTTGAAATTCATACTGAAGACTGTACTCCTCAATTTTCATTAGCAAATGCTACAGGTTATTCTTGCTTTCAGCAAGCAAATTTATGCATTCTGAATATTGAAGGTTGTTCAATAAGACTTCTCCCAAACCTGACACCTCCTTCTTCCTCATATAGTCTATTTCCTCAGATTATTTGCTTAGCATATAGATTGCATAAATAGGTAAAAGACTATCACCCTGACACAAACATTTCCTGATTTTAAATCATGCAGCATTTCCTTGTTCAGTACAAACAACTGTCTCTTGTTCCATATACAGGTTTCATATGATCACAATGAAGTGTTCTGGAATTCCCATTTTCTTAACGTTATCCATAGTTTGTTAGGATCCACACAGTCACAGGCTTTTGAAGAGTCAATGAACCCTATACCCACATTTTTTTCCTGGTGTCTCTGCTTTCAGCTAACACTCACCTGATATCAGCAATGATAGTCCTTGTTTTCTTTCCTTCTCTGAAACTGACTTGGGTTTCTGGCAGCTCTCTGACCCTCTACTGCTGCAACTTTATTTTTAAATTATTTTCAGCAATATTGTACTTGCAGCTGATAATAATAATATTGTTTGATAATCTTTGCATTCTTTCAGTGTCATTCTTCAGAATGTGTGCAAATGTAGAGCTTTCACAATCTTTTGACTAGGTAGCTATCTTTCTGATTTCTTGACATCAATGACTGAATGCTCCCAGCATTTCTTCAGATTTTTGAAACATTTCATTTTTATTCCATCAACTCTTTGATCCTTACTTTTTGTTTATGCTTTCAATACAGTTTAGATTTCTTCCTTAAATATCATAGGTTATCAATGATACAATACTTCTTCACATGTTTGAATATCAACTAACTCTTTTAGGGACTGTGACTATATGCATTTCTTCTATCTTCTTTTGATGCTTCCTGCATCATTTAATATTTTGTTCATTAGAATCCTTCAATAATAAAACTCCAGGCTTGGAAGTTTACTTCAATTTTTTTCAATGTGAAGTATGCTGAGCACGTTCTTCCTGTTTGGCTTTTTAACTCCAAGTCTTTGTATGTTTCTTGATAGCACTCTTTTTGAGATAACTTTGAAATGAACTCTTCAGCTCATTTATGTTGTGCTTTCTTACATTTGCTTTAGCTATTTTACTTTTGAAAGCAAGTTTAAGTGTCTCTTCTGGCATCCACCTCCGTGTTTTCTCTTTCTCGTCTTTTTAATGATCTTGTTTACCCCTTCATATATGACGATTCTGATGCTATCCCACAGTTCTTCAGGTCTTCTCTCATTACCATTTTATAGGTCAAATCTGTTGTTCAGACGTTCTTTAAATTCAGGTTGGACATACCCAAGCTTGTATTTTGGCTATCATGGACTTGTTTTATTTTTCTTCAGCATCAACCTGAAGTTGCATCTGAGCAATTCATAGCCCGTTCCAGTTGGCCACCAGCATTCTTTGGGCTGATGATTTCAGCTTCTTCATCATCTTTCTACAGATACAGTCAATTTTACTACTTTTTGCTCCACTTGGTGAAATCTACATGTATAGACGCCGTTATGTTGTTGACAAAAAGATATTTGCAAGGAAGAATTGGCTGATTTTGAAAAATTGTATCATTTGATCTCCAGCTTCATTTCTATTACCAAGGCCATATATACCAACTACTAATCTTTCCCCTTTTTACAACATTCCCATTCCAGCCACCAGTAATGATTAATGCATCATAATTGCATTTTAGAAGAAAGATGTGAGTTCATATCTTCTTCACTAGCGTTAGTGGTTGTTTCATAAATCTGAATAGCAGTTCTATATTAGTCTTCCTGTGGGCTTATACATGTTATCTTATCACAGACAGCATCATACTTGAAGACAGATCTTGACATGTTATAGTAGAGAAGGAAGGTGATGCCATTGCTCTTGGATTTGTCATTTCCTATGTAGTAAACATTACGATTGCCTAATTTCAATTGGCCAATATAATTCCATATCTTCTTACTAAAGCCTAGAATATCAATTTTATGTGTTCATTTAAGTTTTTCTCTCGTATAGTCATATTTAGAAAATTATAATTATTAATGGATATATGACATTGTTTTCTTTTTTGTTGGAGCCATGCCCCATCAGCAAATGAAGGTACCAAGAGCTTCACCTCCTCTATGCCATTAAATTCAAGTTCACTGTAAACAGGCAGCACTTCCCCAGGTATATTTTGAATATCTGTGAACCTGAAGCTCTCATCTTCTGCCACTATGTCTGACATTATTTCTTTCCTATCCTTAGGGATTTTAGGGACTATGTTTTCAGAGGGGTATAACCTATTTCTTCTTCATAGTATATTCTTTCTTATCCCAGAAGTGCTACTAAAACCTTTTTATCATGTGTGACTCTGTTGATTCTGGACATACCGGTGGCAAAGTTTCCAGCATCACAGAAACACACAAGTACCATAGTATGACATGCACACTGATAGATGGCATAGATGTTTGGGTAGAGGACCCCACATTGATGTTTATTTTAATTTTAATAACTAACCTATTGTTCAGGCTTTATATTATGAAGAATAGAAAATGGGTTCATATAAGTGAACTAGGTTATAGAACAATATCAAAGATGATGTAAGTCTAGCTGAGGACTATACAAGTATGTGCAGCTTGAGTTACTAAAGTACTGAGGAACTGAAAACAATGAACTCTAAATAATACATAATATGACCATTGATGAAAAGACATCCATTCAAAAATTACACATAATGAAAAAATTAGCTAACTTGGTGTGTATTAATGAAAAAGAACATACATGGTATAGGTATTAAAGTCTCAGAAAAAAATAGCTAATTTATAAGATCACCCAAGCAGCCTATTTATAGAACATTAAATCACAAACATCACCACCAACAATAAATAAACAAATGTTTGTACTGTATTGTGTTCCATTTAACAAACAGGACTTGGTGAGATACACTTCTTTGTTGACTTAGTACCTCATTGAACTAGGAAATTTGAACTGAAGGTCCATCTCCAGGGATGGGTTGAGGCTGGATATAACACCTTACCCACATAAGAGTCCATTTCCAAGATTTTAAAATGAAGAGCTTTATCTAGGTAATCTTCAAAAATGTTGACACCTATTTTTGTCTACATGTATCCACAAAAGTGTGTAGAAAGGGGTTATTAACATTTCTAAATTTATACAATGATTTATTCAGTCATGTAGAGATTGTACATTTTCTGAAATTTGGAGATTTCTTTATAATTTTGCCATCAGTCTTCAAAGTGATTGCAGTGATTACAAAATTCACTCCTAATGAGACTATTCTATGAAAAAATGCTTATATGTTACTTATATGTTGTTTGATCTAATTATGGGACTGTCACTGGAATATCATAAAGAAAACCCTTGGACCTTTTAGTCACAGCTGAATATTTAACCTAAGTTTCTGTAATGAAAACACACTTTAATTTCTCTCCTTAGATAACAAAACCAAAGATATGTCCAGAAGGAACTACACTGAAGTAACTGAATTTATCCTTTTGGGTCTAACGAGCCGCCCAGAGCTGCGAGTTGTCTTCTTTGTGCTGTTCCTTGTGGTCTACGTCGTCACTGTGGTCGGAAACCTGGGCATGATTGTTTTAATCAGAATTGATTCTCGACTTCACACTCCCATGTACTTCTTCCTCTCAAGTTTGTCCGTGTTAGACCTGTGTTTCTCCACCAATGTCACACCGAAAATGCTAGAGAACTTCTTATCGGAGAAGAAGACCATCTCGTATGCTGGGTGTTTGGTGCAGTGCTATGTTGTCATTGCTGTGGTCCTTACAGAGCACTGCATGTTGGCTGTCATGGCATATGACCGGTACATGGCCATCTGTAACCCACTGCTCTATAGTAGCAAGATGTCCAAGAGTGTCTGTGTCCGTTTGGTCATTATCCCCTATGTCTATGGCTTCCTTCTAAGCATAATGGAAACCCTGAGGACCTATAACCTTTCCTTCTGCGGTGCTAATGAAATTAACCATTTCTACTGTGCTGATCCCCCTCTTATCAAGCTGGCGTGCTCTGACACTTACAGCAAAGAGCTGTCCATGTACATAGTAGCTGGCTACAGTAATGTCCAATCCCTCCTGATCATCCTGACATCCTACATGTTTATCCTTGTTGCGATCCTTAAAAGCCGTTCTGCAGAGGGAAGGAAAAAAGCCTTTTCTACATGTGGCTCCCATCTCACTGTGGTCACCATCTTCTATGGGACCCTCTTCTGTATGCACATGAGACGTCCCACTGAGGAATCTGTGGAGCAAGGTAAAATGGTAGCTGTGTTTTACACCACGGTGATCCCCATGCTGAACCCCATGATCTATGGCCTCAGAAACAAAGATGTGAAAGAGGCCTTGAAAAAAGCAATAGGGAAGCAAACTTTAGGGAAATAAAAGACTAAGCTATCATTTAAAAATACATGAAGTACTATGTTTCATTATTTCTGTGTTAGAGTTCACATTTTAGGCTAGCTTGTTTAATAACTCCATACATTCATTAGTAGGCAGCTAATTGGGTTGAAATGTCTAGACACATGGGTTGAAATGGAAAGGGTGACCAAAGGAATTGAAGTGTTCCTTTGCATTTTTAATTGTTAGTTATTTTCAATACTTGCAAAGAGATAAAAACAAAAACAAACAAAAAACGTTTGCTTAAAAAAAACCAAATTCTATTTCTTTGTTTTATTAGCAGATAAAAGAAATCTGGACATAAACAATCTCTGAATTGTATGCCAGCATTATCAGGTTAGATCATGAGACTCTTTTCAAACCCCAAACCAAATTCACTGTCATTAAGTCTATTCTTCCATGTAGCTACCTTTTTGGCTAGGGCTAATACCACAAGGTAAGTAGTTCGAATCCACCTCCAGTTCCATGGGAGAAAGATGCTGCTTCTACTCCTATAAAGATTTATGCTTTAGTAAGCTGAAGGGACAGTTCTAATCTGTCTTACAGAGTCTCCATTTGCCAGACTCCTGATAGCCTGTTTTATTTGGCACACTGTTTACATTCCTACAGTCACTTCATAATACAAAATTACTGCTAGAAAGTCAGTCCATATTCACGTGTTCATCATATGCCGGAGGCAGAGAGAGAAAATTTAATTAAGTTAAACTATTTGCACCTTGGAAAATGGAGCCTCAGCTTGTTCTATTGTAGATGGAATTATGTTGGATAGGAACCAACTTGGTCACCACTTAACAACAACTTATTAATTAAGCTCATTTAGAGCAATACAGTCTCATCCCTTGCATTATGGAGATGGCAAATTGAATATTAAGCTCATTGTATTCACATATTATTTTATTTATCAATAAAATTTTGAAGAACATTTTTAGGCATTATAATAGTTTTATTTTCTGAAATGGGTTGAGCCTTTCAATGTGAGAAAGGCAGCAATTAGAAATTATTTTTATCATTGAAAACGATCATTCAGAATGGGTGCGATTGTGAGGTTGTCATCTAGACCAGGAAAAGGGCAATCAGAAGATCGCAACAAACAGTAAATAAACAAACAAACAAAAATGCATTGGTGAGAATGGAGCCCCCTAAGACCATCTGTGGACAATGGAACATCCCCCCACAGAGGGGTCACAGGGAGGGGATGAGTCAATCAGGGTGCTGTAGAGCACTACTGGATCACACCATATACTTCTGATCCCTTGAGGCCTCCTCACCCCCCACTATCGTGACCCCAGTGCCATTTCCCACTCTGGACTAGACGGGAGCATGTCCATAGGTACAGGCAAGGGAGAAAACTCACACCACATGGAACAGGAATGGGAATAGGGACACCAAAAGGGTAGGGGGAGGTGGGGGGAGAGGTGGGAAGCAAAGGGGGCACCCATCTCAAGAATGGCACATGACCACACACCCATCCAGGGGGAAAAGCAACAGAAACCAGAGGGGAAGGGAGATAGCGGTCAGTGTGACATTTGAAAATAATGAACAATCTGTGATATATCAAGGGGCCACGAGAGTTGGAGGGGGGCGGAGAAAAAGAGGAGCTGATCCCAAAGGCTCAATGGAAAGCAAATGTCTAGAAAAGAATGATGGAATGTATGTACTAATATGTCAGACACAAATGATGTATGGATTGTAACAAGAGTTATAAGAGCCCCCGATAAAATGACCTAA